CGTGTCATGATCCTCTGTCTCATGTAATGATCCTCTTTTTTTCTGTTATGATCCTCTGTCTCCTGTCATGATCCTTTGTCTCGTGTCATGATCCTCTGTCTCATGTAATGATCCTCTTTTTTTCTGTTATGATCCTCTGTCTCCTGTCATGATCCTTTGCCTCCTGTCATGATCTTCTGTCTCCTTTCATGACCTTCTGTTTCCTGTTATAAGCCTCAGTCTCCTGTAATGATCCTGTCACCTGTCATTATCCTCTGTCTTCTGTCATGATTCCCTGTCTCCTGTTACAAACCTCTGTCTCCTGTCATGATCAACTGTGTCCTGTCATGATCTTCTGTCTCCTCTTCTTGATCTTGTCTCCTGTCATGATTTTTTGTTTTCTCTCATGATCCTGTGTCTCCTGTCACGATTCTCTGTTTCCTGTCATGACCTTCCGTCTCCTGTTTCAAGACTCTGTCTCCTGTCATGATCCTCTGTGTCCTGTCATTTTCCTCTGTGTCCTGTCATGATCCTCTGTCTCCTGTTATGATCCTCTTTCTTCTCTCATGATCCTCTGTCTCCTGTTAGAAACCTCTGTCTCCTGTCATGATCAACTGTGTTCTGTCATGATCCTCTGTCTCCTGTCATTATCTTCTGTCTCCTGTCATGATCCTCTGTTTTCTGTCATGTTCTTTTGTCTCCTGTCATGATCCTCTGTCTCCTGTCATGATCCATTGTCACCTGTCATGATACCTCTTTCTCCAGTCATGATCCTCTGTCTCCTGTTATGATGCTTTGTCTGCTGTCATGGTCCTTTGTCTGCTGTTATGTTACTCTATCTCCTGTTATGATCCTCTATCTTCTGACATGATCATCTGTCCTATTATGAACGCTATTTGGCACTGCCCTATTCCATTGCACATGAATATATACAGTAACTTTCTACCCAGTAAATGTTGTACAACTCCCCCAATCTTTCTTAAAACCCAATATACTACAACACCGTTTCCTCCCCTATTAAACATCTTTCCTCTATATTAGCGGTCCCCAACATGTAGTTAGCGTGGTAACCATATTATTGAGCCCGCAAGGGTTTATTATAAAATTGTGAATAATTTGGGATTCTTTGTATGAGTGAAAATAATAAAAAAATATATGATAACTTGATGCAACTTTATAGTTTGAGAGAGAGAATGTTTTTAGTTTAACAAATTTATTGGCAAAGCTTGTAGTACAGTTTGCCTATTCTGAGTAATTCAGTCAGGTCTTGACACTGAGGGTGGTATCACTTCTCACTGCCACGCAGGACAGAGGTTCATACACAAAGAAATACATCATATTCATTAACAGCTATATATGTATAGAGGTCAGATTCATGTGGGTAATGTCACTGTTCACTGCCATGCAGGACAGAGGTTCGTACACAAAGAGATGCATCATATTCATTGACAGTACAAATATATATATATATATATATATATATATATATATATATATATATATATATATATATATATATATATATATATATATATATATATATATATATATATATATATATATATATATAGGTCAGATTCATGTGGGTAATATCACTGTTCACTGCCATGCAGGACAGAGGTTCGTACACAAAGAAAGAAATACATCATATTCATTCGCAGTATATATAGGTCAGTGGTTCACATACATTGGAGTCATATTCTAATTGAAGACTAATCAGTGTGGGCTAGCAAATTTGGGATAAACAGCAAGAATGTCCTCAAGCACCCCCGATTCAATGTAGTAATTACAAAGTTCAAGATGCAATAAGTCAGGTGGAGAGAGAGAGAGAGAGAGGGGGGGGGGGGAACTGCGCGTTTGTCCTGAGTCTGTCGTGGATGGGACGTGTGTCTTTACGCCAAACCGGGCCCAGAGAGAGAGAGTGAGAGCCAGCTTTCTCACTGGTGTAAATGCACTCATGGCCTGCTCAAGAGTAAGAGTAAATGTAAAATGTATAATTGATAACAGTTAGACATGTAAAACTGCAAATAACTGTTCAGTATAATATGATTTTTTTTCTAGAATGTAGATCCAAAATTTTGGCGCCCTCCTCTATATTTACAATGATAAATGTGGCCCAGAGCCTATAGATTGTTGGGGACCACTGCGCTATACAATGTCATCATATTCCAAATTTCAACTCTCTGCATATACTCATTCATTCTTAAGCTTTTCGCACTGTTGTCTGTTGTTTAGTGTTCATTGCCTCAGTTACCTCTTCTGGATGCAATACCGTTTAACCTTTAGGTTATAGTGATCCTACAGTCGTATATTCAGTGCCTCCTCGTGCCTGTTCCAAAGTACGTCTTGAGATTCAATGAACCATAAAGCTCAATGCTTTCCCACATTAGAAGTTTTTGTGTAAAATAGAAAATGGGTCAATGCATTTTCTTTTTTCATCTCTTTATATTATAGAAATGAATATAGAAATTTTTACGGATCAAAATAATTATGGGAGACCCTGTATATCTGCCAAATTATTTGTTACTGCTTTTATTTGGAGATTCCCATTAATATTAATTATGCGTATAGGATTATTGATCAAAATAAATTTATTTCGCAGATGAAAATTATTAAAATATGGTGGATATTGAGCTAAAATACACTGCATAGCACACATAACTGTCTATGCGATGATGTATTACTCCGCTTTAGCACCTGAGGTCCTTAAGCATGTAATGTAGGTTAGATATTCACTAATCATCACCAACTGAAACTTAAGAGAGATACATTTTTTTATGGTGTGCGGCTGCTGAGGCTATGGAGGACGATCCTTTCCTGTATGCTGATTGGTTGTGTGGTCGTCGCGAGACAAGGTGAGATAAATTTCTCAAGTGTACCTGCGACATTTGTCTTTTGGAGCTTATATTGTTCCTTAAATATTTACGAAGTTTTAAAATAAACATAACTTTAAATTTGTATTTTAAATTGATTTCCCTGCTCATGACGCCTGATAAACAAACAATGTAGCTAAGCTACAAGGGTGATGAAAATTAAGACACACACAAACAAACACACACACACACACACACACACACACACACACACACACACACACACACACACACTTTTTAAATAGAATATGAATATTTGATGAAAAAATGCTCCGAAAATTATATACCAAAATCTCCTGCTAGTGTACCTGAAAACCTTGATAATACGAATTCTGTCTGTCCCAACCATACATTTTCGGATTTTTTTTTATATAAAGTCGATGGATTGCCAAATTAGTAAAATCAGCTAAATGAGTTAGGGGTGTGGTGGCCGAGAGGATACAATTAGTCACCCACTGTCCTGAGGGTTGTCTGGTCAGTTAGGGGTGTGGTGGCCGAGAGGATACAATTACTCGCCCACTGTCCTGAGGGTTGTCTGGTCAGTTAGAGGTGTGGTGGCCGAGAGGATACAATTAGTCGCCCACTGTCCTGAGGGTTGTCTGGTCAGTTAGGGGTGTGGTGGCCGAGAGGATACAATTACTCGCCCACTGTCCTGAGGGTTGTCTGGTCAGTTAGGGGTGTGGTGGCCGAGAGGATACAATTAGTCGCCCACTGTCCTGAGGGTTGTCTGGTCAGTTAGGGGTGTGGTGGCCGAGAGGATACAATTAGTCGCCCACTGTCCTGAGGGTTGTCTGGTCAGTTAGGGGTGTGGTGGCCGAGAGGATACAATTAGTCGCCTACTGTCCTTAGGGATCGCCCTGTGAACAGGTAAGTCAATTTACAATTGGGAGAAGTGAAAGTGTTCACGCTGCCTCTTTGTGCGGCACCTAAAACATCTTAATTTACAGTATGCTTTATTACAGAATGAAAGAAACCTCAGAGTATGGTAAGTGCAGTCGTCATCTATTATTTTTTATTCGTTGAAAACAAAAGAAAAACAATAGGTTGGTACCCCACGTTTTTTATTGTCTGTTTGTACAGTAGCTAAAACAAGTATCTGTGCATACTTTGTGGGAAACAATATGAGACCATGGACTATAAATACTGGTATATGAGGGCTGCCACTAGTCACACGTAAAATTTCAGAGCATATCGACCCCCACCTGCACAGATAGTTTTTTTTTTTATGGGGATTAGCCCACCCGGACACAGGTCACTGACCCACATCGGGCCTGGGGGGCGAAAATGTAATAATAATAATAATGATAATAATAATAATAATAATAATAATAATAATAATAATAATAATAATAATAATAATAATAATAATAATAATAATAATAATAATAATAATAATAATAATAATAATAATAATAATGACAATAATAATAATAAATGATAGTCATAATAATTCATAATAAATAAAATTTATGATAAAACAAACAAAAATTAAATATTAAAATAATGATGATAATAATACAGTAACTGTAATAATAATAATATTAATAATAAAGAACTATAAATACAAAAATGAAAAAAAAGATCAAAAGTGAGAAACGATATATGTATGTTGTGTTGTCAATGGTAAGAGAAACAATTGAGACCCTGCAATTGCGTGTAAATGAAGCAGAAAGTCAGATCAGCAACCTGGGACTTGGTCACAATTTTCGTGATGCCATATGGCAGCAGGGTCTACCATTAGACAACACATTATGCTTCCAATATCTTCCCAGGCAGTAGTACCTCCCTGTTTGATAGCTGCCTACTACATACTGTACATCCAAAGAAATATCGCTGAAATAGTTAATCAGTATTCCAACTGATCAGTGGCCTCACTTCTTAACGACTGGAACTAATTTCTATTTCATTATATCCCAAGGTATGTCCATCCCGCAATATGGCCATTGTTGGAAGACGGCGAACTGAAATGTTAACTAAATTTTCTTCTTTGGCAAGATGGCAAGAACCATTATTGACCTAAACTACTCTAATGTACGGTAGTCTATATTTGCTTAGATTAGGTTTGGTTGGTTTATGTGGTCTGAAAAATAATTAAATTAACGCCTTGTCAGTATTTCATATTAACATTTATTGCTTTACGTCGCATAGGTGTGCGTGCGACGCATGCCGTGAGGACTGGCTGGTGTACGACAACATGCCCAACAGGAGGGTGCTGCGCTGCCAAATGTGTAAATCACCTCTTCCTCTGAGACAAAAGAATCAGTCCCATGTCAAATGTCATGATTGTGGGACATCCACAAACGCTGTTGACACCTTCAACACCCTGGACAAGACAGAAAAATGTAAGTTTCGAAATTGGTTACAACTAAATCAGTCAATATATAGTAATTTTACATAAAACAATACATAGAATTTGTTTATGATCATCATTTTATTGAAACAGTATAAGAGACAAGTGTAAGACGTGGTGCATAAAGTTTAATAGTACGGTTGAAAACAATTTGCTTGAGATTATAGAATAAAGCAATTTGCTAGGACTAAATTTAGAGCAACAATTTCATTGTACGCACACCTGATATATATATATATATATATATATATATATATATATATATATATATATATATATATATATATATATATATATATATATATATATATATATATATATATATATATATATATATATATATATGCTGATAACCACAAGGAAAGAAGAAAACACGTGAATAAGATATAGCTTGATAAAATCACACACGAAAAGGGAAACACTGGAGCACCTTAGTATTCGTCTTTACTCAAGACATCTTCAGAGACAATTGAATTAACAGGGATTGAGAGAAGCTTATATGCAAAAACATGGGATCCACTAATCCACACACCACTTCCACTGCAAATGAAAAAAAAAGAGCTTATAAAAATGGGTGACATAAGAACAGGTCAGGTCAAAAAAACTTGAGACCCACTAATCATCTAACCTACATCCATCTCAAATGCTTTCAAAGCATTTTTAACTTTGGGCCACTGACAAATAAATTTATGTAACATATTATCAGTTTTGTGCTGACCATCACTTAGGTTTATAGAATTAATTTCCCTATTTAGACTTTCTTCAACCAGAAGTCTTTCTTTAACACATTAGTAGGAGATCTTATGATAAGAAAATGGCTAGCTACTGTACTTCACTTTCGAGTAAAGCAACGAAAGTTTACAAGGGGGGTAGCTGAAGTGATTCTAAGACGATTTAAGGCCGGATCCCAGTTGGAGAACGTTGTTAATTGGTCCTAATTGGCCGTAATTAACAAAAATCACTATTTCGGCCACTTCTGAGTTAAATATCCTGTGTTTAGCTCAATCGAAAGGAAATTGTCGAGTTAGAGGGAGTAGAGCAAGTTAGTTTTAACCTATGGCAAAATTTAGAGCTTGAAATCGAGAAAAACAGGGACCGCATCCTCTCATGACACAGTATGTATGCACATCTATGGCCGAGGCCCAAATGTAGTCGTGTTTAGTGTCTTCTTTAGGGTATTTTTGGTACGAAAATGCGATTTCAAGCACTCATTTTGAGCTACGAGGAATGAGAAAGTAAGTAATTGCAAGACATTTGTTCAAACTCACCTGCGATTTCTACCATTTTAATGGCGAAATGGGTCTGTGAGAGCACTACCACTAGAAAAGTGATCCCAGCCAATCAGTTGCCCTATGGTCGTTCTTTGGTGTACTTAACAGCTAAATTCAGTGCACCACCCACCAGGTTTGGAAGAAGTCAATACTTCAGATTTTGAGAAATGAGGTATTGAATGCAATTTAACAGCAACTGTAAACAAAAATTTTGCATTTAAAGTGTTCTTGGAGCAAGAGCAAGCTGTCAGTCCAGCAACCATCTTTCATGTCTGGCAAAGTGCCTCAGTTTACTGAATTAATTTCATCCATGATAGACCAACCCTAGTAATCAGGGCTGGATGGTTCGAAGCTACAGTATCCGTGGTGGGTGGAAGCTTGTGGAAAGAGGTACCTTTGTTCATGAACAGGAATCGTCTTGCTTCATTCATCGATGTTGAGTGTGCTGTGTCTGTTGTTACAGACAGAGATACTGTGAATTCCTCTATAGTTTTAAACAACTGGGAGAAAGCATCACTGAGTTACTCTTCTGTAGATATCATCTCACTCAGTTTCTTTAAGGCGCCTATAACGACATCCCTCTAGTGGTACTTGGTTCAATGCTTGAACCAATTTTTTTCAGAGAACCTACTCGAGCTATCACAACCGGTGTATGCATAGAAAAACATCAGCCCCTGAGTCAGGCTACTGTGAGCCTGCCTCATCATGTGGATTGGTTGGTCTCTCACATTGGCTGAGGTGCCGTACTAGATCCAAAACTCTCTCAGAACAAGTTTTTGAAATGAAGCAGTGGTAGGATCACTGTTTCTGTGTCCGTACTCCTAATGCACATTGCTCGCTCCTTTACTTGATGCATCAAATGAATGGAAGAATAACTTGATGTCAGCTTCCTCATGTTTGGTTGGCGAAACAAGACTCAGATCAGCATTGGTGGGGAGGGCAATGACAGTTATCCAAAAGTCATATACAGTTCTATATGTCCTTGCACTTCAACCCCATCATGTAGCTCTGTGACTATAAACCCGAATAGGTACTGTTTGTATTCTTTATTTTTGAGGAACTCGCACTTTTCATGCTTCCTTCCAGATAACGATCAAACACAGTAAAAATGTATTCAAGATATAATCTGTACAGGTTTTGTCCCATTGACTGTATCACAAATGTAGCATCAAGAGTATAGCAGTCTGTGTTTTGGGTGCATCAGAACCAGTCACTTCACACTACTACAGGAAACAGTCGACAAGCTTCGATTTCCGACAAACTGCTGTCAAAGAAAGGGAAAGTAAAACAACTTCGTGTTTGAAAGCCTCTCCAAGGCTTCTTCCACGTTGTGTGGATGATATCATCAAGTCTGTCAGAATAGAGTAACTTTTCTGTTGTCTTCCGTTTACTCTTTCTATCAGGAAACAGTTCAATGTTATTCTTAGAGAGAGTTGAGTGCACAGCTCGGGATTTGCCCACAACAACCTCTCTCTGGATTTTTCTATACCGCTGCTTGCCTATTTCTTCAATAGTGTACACGAGACTCAGCAGCTTCAGGTACTCTCATTTTGATGATAAGGTTGGTCATTGACGTGAGATCATTCGTAAAAGGATTTCCTTGTCTATTGAGGTACTTTGTCAACTTATCGACATCTGGCAACCTAGAAGCTTCTCCTGCTACTTCTTTAAACTGCTTCAACAATCTTTATGATGATGGGTCCGCACACCAAGAATCATTTCAGAGCATTGGGATCGCTGACAAGCCCTGATAATCCTCCTTTACTCTTCAAATCATCATTTACCTGTTCGTGCGCCTGGTCTAGGTGCATAGAACTGAATTGCTTCCCAGATTTATTGATTGCGAAAATTCCTTTATCGAGAAGATGGAACAGTTCTGGGTTAGAAACCTCAATGTTTCTTAAATCTATCAGCTGAATGGAGACCATTCTCGAGTACATGGGGTGATCGAAGAGGAAAATCCAGATAACCCACTCAGCTAGGTTTCGCCGGAACAAGTAAAAATTATGCTCTCTGGTGGATCGGACATAGGTCAGAAACCTGAGCATGAGATCAAGGCCTTGCGACCAGAATTTGAAGTTCTGTGACTTCTCTGCACGTTCTCGTATCCACTGCTCAAGCTCTGGGGCGTTGGATGACTCGAACTCCGTTTTCATCAGCTTGGATAATAGTAGAGCGGATAATGGGAAAATCGTGCAAATGGTGATACAAGCATGAAATTTGGCAAGATCATACCCTAGGGGCTACTTGTCAGATCTGCCTGATTGGCCATTTGGAAATCCAAGATGGCGGCCATTTGTCAAGATGGTTGCCAAATTGACCTTCGAAAGATGATTTTTTTATAGAAATTGATGTAGTTGGTCAATCTAAATGATCATAGTGTCGATATGAATGTTTTCAAGCATGCTCAGATGATTTTTTATATTTCTGATACTCTCAGATATATATTTGTCTTATTTATGACTGGTTTTATGTACTGGTTTTATGTTTTTTCCAACTAGGTGAGGGTAGCATGCAGAGGGTGAGGGAGTGATTGTCGGGCACTACCAGGGCACAATGGTGACATTACTGCTATACAACCCAGCATGGGGTTCAGTGTCAGCTAAGAAAAAGCATGTCATACTGCAACAGCATAGTGTCCCAAATGCTGCTTAACCAACCCCAAATCAGTTAAGCAGCCGCACTTGAATTGACAGGATGTGCCAGAGCGGGAGAGCCGAGCCAAGGATTACGGGGTTTTAGCTATCCTGATGGTGTACAGATCTCATGGGACTAATGAGATCATAAGAATGGAGGAACCTGCAGCGGGCCTATTGGCCCATACTGGGCAGTCCCGTTTACACACAACCCCTACTGCTCATATAAGCATCCAACCTATGTTTGAAGCTATTCAGCGTATTCGAGTTAATGATGATAGTTGGTAACTTGTTCCATTCATCCACGACTCTGTTTCCAAACCAGTGTTTACCTATTTCACGCCTAAATCTAAATTTGTCTAATTTAAAACCATTGTTATAAGTTCGCTCCTGTTTGGATAGTTTGAGTACCTTTGTAATGTCCCTTTTGTTTAGTCCTGCCTTCCACTTATACAACTCTATCAGGTCGCCCCTCGCTCTACGTCTCTCGAGGGAGTGTAAATTAAGATGCTTTGACCTGTCTCTATACTCAAGGTTCCTAATGCCCGGGATTAGTCTTGTCATCCTCCTCTGAATTCTTTCCAAGGATTCTATATCCATTCTGTAATACGGTGACCAGAACTGAACTGCGTAATCCAGGTGTGGTCTCACAAGAGCAAGGTACAGTTTTAGGATGACCTCGCTAGTCTTGTAACTAACACTCCTTTGTATGAACCCAAGTACTTTATTAGCCTTGTTACGAGCAAAAACACATTGTTTACTTGGCTTAAGGTTCCTACTTATCATTACTCCTAAATCTCTCTCGCAGTCGGATTTCTCTATGGCATCGTTGTTCATCTGGTATCTGGTTTCCCTGTTTACATCTCCTATACTGAGTACTTTACATTTGTCCACGTTGAATTTCATCTGCCATTTTTCAGACCATTCGAAAAATTTGTTTAGATCTTCCTGTAGTTTTGTGGAGTCCTCGTCAGATTTAATAACACGTCCTATTTTAGTGTCATCAGCAAATTTGCTTATGTTGCTGTCTATGCCGATATCTATGTCGTTTATGTATATAATAAATAATAATGGTCCAAGTACTG